CCCCTGAGCCTGCTTGCAGGTGCTTTCATCTGCTGAGCTATTTGGTCCACCCTAAAGTTGTAATTCAACAGTGACAGTAATCCTATCAAAACTTTTCCAAGAGTCAAGCCAGTGGGGGCTAAATGCTGTATTTTTAACAATGTCAGTGAATTATAGTAAGTCAATAAAAGAAAACTTACACATACAACCTATTAGGGCTGCCCACTTTGTTTTTAAATTTGAAGCACTGTAAGGAATATGGCATATCAATTTACTACTTCAAAACTACTTACATCTCCCATGCTTCTGACCTTTATTTCAGTCCAGATAAGGTTATTATTACATTTTAATTCATATGTATTCTAATTCCATTTGTTTAGGTAACAACCAGTGAGGATAAAACATTTTTCTGCTTTTGGAAAATGAAAGATCTGGACTAAACAAAAGTATCAGTACCTGTATTTCAAAGCTTCTAAGGTTAAGCCTCTTCCCAAAAACACTTCACTCTGAAGCATTACGTGTAATTTTCATCACAACCTTTTCTTCCTTTCAGCCCCATGGGAAGGGGCTCTGAGTGCATTCTGATCTTTCAAGCCTCTCTAACTTATTCAGTCAAAGTTCTACCACCCTTTGTCTGAGCGCACTGCCTGCTTCTGAGGAGTAAATTGCAAGCATGGTTCCAGTGAATAGCATATGTTTTGAAGGAGAATGCACTTTGTTTTTATCCTCTGGATAATGAATTTGAAATTACTTTGTACTTAAAGCATAAAGATAAAAGCATCTTTGCTTCCACGGCTTTCTTTAAAAGTTACAGGAGAATGTGCAGAAATGGACATACGCTGTCCTCTTATTCAAAACCTCTCCTAAAACAGTTTTCTTGGCACATATTTGAAGGAAATCTGAGACCAGAAACATACACGTTTTACACCATGTTCAGCAATAGGATGAACCAAATGATATTTTGAGCAAACAAAGACAAGTGGTGAATGCTAATACATTGTTATCACTCATGCCGTGTGGTCACAATCAAGGGCTCTGGGCTGCCACTACTTGTGACAATGCTCTGTTCCAAGGACACTCGAGGTTGCCAGCCTGAGATTCGAAATATATAAACATACCAGAGAAATGTAGCAAAACACTGAAAAAACTAGTGCTGCAAGTAACAAAGGCACAGAGTTCTTTTCATTTTGTTTGACGCTCTGGTAAACTTTTAAATACAATGTCTCCTCTACCCTTCCCTTAGAACTTGACACGGAAGCTCAGTGAAGCTCTACAAATGATAGTTAAGCAATCATGACAGGCATTCTGCATCGTCCCTAGCACTGTCCTGCTCGTTTCTGCAGCTTGTCTATGATTTCTTACACTCCCTACAAAAGTGCTTTAACGTTGCTCCCAAAGTATACGTTAGGACAAGCCTACAATAGAACCACTTCAAATGATTGCTAAAAGCCACATTCCCCTGGCTGAGGCAGGAGAGAATCATGGGTCTGAGGCAGCTTGC